CACAATGGATAGTCTAACAATGTGACTGAAGAGGAGGGCAACTTTGGATCACCCATTATCAGCTAGACTCTAGAGGGGCTGGAGACAGAGGTCAGCCCTGTGGGGGACAACCTACATTGTTCTACATGACTGAGCTCTAATAAAAACTTTGGACACCAAAGCTTGAGTGAGATTCCCTGGTTGGTAATACTATGCAAGTATTATACATAGTTACTGGGAAAATTAGCTGTCCATAATTCCACCAGAGGGAACAAATGACAACTGGAAGCTCTGAGTTTGGAACTTTCCTGGATACTGCCCTGTGCTTCTCTTCCCTTAACTGACTTGACTGTTTCCTTTCACTGTAATGAACTGGAACCATAATTATAACGACTTTCAATGAGGTCTGTGAGCCCTTCCGGTGAATTATCAAATCTGAGGGTGGGTCTTAGGGGACCCCCAAACTTAAAACTGGTGTCAGAAGATTAGATGACCTTTAGGACTATTCCCTAAATTTGGGAAATAGATAGGTGAATAAGTTAGTGTGATCAAATAATATAATCACCATGTAAGTTGGCTATGTGGATTGAGAGAGCACAAAGATGAGAATGGTTATTCTGCCTATAAAGGAAAAACATTTAAAGAGTTAAATGAGTTTTAAAAACATTTAAAGAGTTAAATTTTTTTTTTTTGGTACCAGGGATTGAACCCAGAGATGCTTAGCTACTGAGCCACATCCCCAGCCCTATTTTTTTTTTTTTTTTTTCATTTTGAGACAGGGTCTCATTAAGTTCCTTAGGGACTCATTAAGTTGCTGAGGCTGGTTTTGAACTTGTGATCCTTCTGCCTCAGCCTCCCAAGGAGCTGGGATTTCAGGCATGCACCATTGCGCCTGGCAAGAGTTAACCCTTGAGTGGAGTTTTTCAAAGGTAAGTAGGTATATTCACTAAGAGAGTGCAGTCAGAGTGATAGTGTTGGGGAAGTTATGAAACACATAAAACAGTCTGGGCTCAGTGACACACACCTGGAATCCCAGCAACTTGGGAGGCTGAGGCAGGAAGACAAGTCCAAGGCCAGTTTGAGAAATTTAGTGAGACCCTTCCGGCCTCAAAATTAAAAAAAAAAAAAATTAAAGGGCTAGGGATGTAGCTCAATGGTAGATTTTCCTTGGGTTCAATCCCAGTACTGTAAATTTTTAAAAAAGAAAAAGAAAAGGTACAAAGCAGGTAGGTATCTGTACAGGGAACTGTAAAGCAGCATCACTTAAAAGCAGGCAGCAAAGGAGGCAAGGGAGCTTATAAGGCTGGAGAGAGATGCTAAGACCAGATCATGAAGAAACTTGCATGGCAGGCTGAGAAGTTTCACATGTGCCTTGTAGGCAATGGGATGTCCTTCGAATAACATGATCAGATTTGCATTCTTACAAAAGACTACTGTATCATGGCAGGGACAGATTAGAGCAAGAAAGACTAGTGAAGAAGATTCTAGGGGAGATGATGAAGGTCTAGATGAAAGCCTTAATCATAAAGGAATTGAAGAAGAAAGAGGTGGGAATTATAGGATGTGGTGACTCACTAGGTATGAAAAGAAATGAACAGGAATCATCAGAATGATTCCCAGGTTCCTAGCGTGGGTAAGTGCCATGAACGAGGACAAGGATCCCAGGTAGAGCATGACTGAGGAGGATGAAAAGAAAACGATACGAATTCAGTTTGAGACATGCTGAGTTTGAAGTAACTGAAAGATGACTGACTGGCAGATGGATAATAGATTCCATCTGAATAATAGATTCCTATTATCTGGAATAATAGATTCAGAGATGGAACTAAGATGGGGAAGGCATCAGCAAATATACAGAAGCTGAATTTAAATAAGAGAAAACCTGGGCAATGTCCCTTGGATTTAGAAAATAGGAGGCCATTGTCACTTGAGAGCATCTGCAATAGTGGGAACAAGATCACAATTCAATGGCTTGAGACATGAATAAGAAGGGAGCAAGTGGAGCAACAGCAGATGTGGATAAATCACTGCCAAACACAAGCAGAGCAGGATGACAAACTTCCATGCAACCTTTGGAACCCAACAGAGATTTTCTGAGCTAACATTAAAACAATCACCATCCAAGCCTGATTTTTTCGAGGTGCATGGGTTCAAGTGACACTTGAAACAAAGTAGGAAATCTCAACTAGTAATACCTTGCTAACTAAATTAGGGGTCTCCAGAAAAACAGAACCAATAGAAGAAAGAGAAAGAGAGACAGAGAGAGAAAGAGAGAAAGTGGGAGGGAGGGAGGGGGGAGAGGAAGGAAGGAGAGGGGATTTATTAGAGGAATTGGTTCATGTAATTATGGACGCTGACAGGTCCCATGTCAGGACATCTACAAACTGGAGAATCAGGTATCCCAGCAATGTGGCTCAGTTCAAGTCCAAAGTCTGGAAACCTAGAGAGCCACTGGTGTTAAGTCCTAGAGTCCACAAATCCAAGTGCCTAAAGTTCAGATGTCCCAATAGCAGGAGAATAAAAGTGTATCCCAGCTTCAGAAGAGAAAATTGCCTTTCTGTTCTATCTGGGTCCCCAGCTGATTGTACATTGCCCACCCCCACACACATCTGAGCATCCTCCCCTGTCAACTAACTCCTCTAGATACACAAAAATAATGCTTTACCAGTTCTCTCGGTATTCCTTAACCTAATGAAGTTTACACCTAAAATTAATGTTAACTCATGCCAAGCTGGCCTTCCAACCGAGACAAGTAAGGTAGGCCACACTGGTAAATGGTATCACTTAGGATTCTTATAAACCCAGATAATAGCTCTGGCTAATTTGAGTAAGATAGGATTTACTGGATACTCAATTTTCATAGCAAGAACAAGAAATGTACACCCTAGCAAAATCAGTGAATTCCAACTGATTTATACTCCTTGGTCCTCTGCTAAAGACACAAATCCTTGTAACATGTGAGTGGACCATCTTGAATCATGAATCAAGATGAATCCCTTGGCTAAGGGAAAGTAGTTATTCCAGATTACATAATAGATGGGGAAGAGATGATTCCACAAAAAAAGATGGTGAGAGCTGCTCAGAAAGGTGGCCAAAAAACTGATACTATCATTGCAACCCATATAACACAACCATCTTTAGAATAAGTAGCAAATGTGATTTTATAATCCCTAAAAAATTATGACCAATTATCACTATCCAGTCGCCAATAAAACTGGATCCTCAGTTAAAAATATAAGGGGTACTCCTCTGAGACAAGTCTTTCAAGCTACCATTCAACAATATCAAGTTGTATTTGATAAGTTGGGCAGATGTGTTCAACTCATGCATCTATATCTCTAGAGAGAATCCTTTGGGAAAGCAGGCCTTTCAGACTTCATTATTTCTGAGCAGAGTCTGACCAAGCTTACTGACACTAGCATATACAGCCCCTGAACTAATAAAGTTGACTACTAAGAGCCCAGGTTAGAACACTCAGAAAATCATCAAATAGACTAAACATCTAGGAAGTCTACAACATGCTCCTTGGCAAAAGGAACTGTATCCCAATTTTAAAATTGACCTAAATTCAGTAAAGAGCTTATTGATGAGGCAAATGCTTGAATCTATAGCCAGCAGGATCATCATTGGGTGAGGGCAAAATGAGAGCTTCTTCCTTCTCAAATTTTGCAGAGTCACCTTCAGAAGATGTCTAAAAGCCAGTACTGGGTCTAGTTCCACTGGATGTGCAGAACTGGTGTAATCAGGCTCTGCTTAACCACTGCTGCTGGCCAAATCTGTTTTCAGAACTAATAGACTCAACGGGAACTCTGATGTCAGACAAGATCTGAACTGGATCCTTCTGAAATTTTGACACTATTATTGCTGGAAGGAATGGTGAACTTCTTTTGTTCAAGAAGAGAAGTCTTAGAAAATTGGACTGGGTGGGGAGCAGAAAGAGACCCATGGGAACGGGGACACACTTCCTAAAAACAGAGCACAAACTAGATAGTGGTTTTGGGTTTTTTTTTGTTTGTTTGTTTTGTTTTTGTTTTTGGTACCACGGATTGAACCCAGGGGCACTTATCCACTGAGCCACATCCCCAGCTCTATTTTTGTTTTATTTTGAGACAGGGTCTCACTAAATTGCTAAAGATGGCCTTGAATTTGTAATCCTCCTGCCTCAGCCTCCCAAGCTACTGGAATTACAGGCCTGTACCACCACACCCAGCAATGGTTAGTATTAGACACCATCTTCCACTTACAAACTAGAGCTCTAGTTCGCAGATCTGAAGGGATCTAGCCTCAGAACTCTTCCTTTGCTCCCTCTCACCCATGACATAAAATCTAAAGCCTCCCATCTCTCTCCAGCCTCCTCTCCCAAACTCACCAATCCTACTTTACACTTAAGCCATGCTAAACCAGTTTCCAGAGCAAGTTCTGCCCTGCTCCAGAGGAGTATAGTTGCACAGTGCCAATATCTGAAGAACTCCTTTCCTCCTGTTCTGCAGAACACACTGTGCCCTTTTGCAGAGCCAGCTCTAACCTCCTGATTTACCTGCTCTGTTCTTTCTTGCAACCTCTGTGTGCCTTTTTGTGCTAAAGTAATCATGTCACCATCTCAACGCACTCGACACACTGATGGGTATATTTTCCGACTGGACTAGGCACTCCTCAAAGTCAGGAACCAAGTTTTTCCACCTCAAAAACCTACTTGACAACTCAGGTTCATCTCCTGGTAGGAGCTCAAACATCTGTGGCAGGAATGAACCCCATTAGCGTTTTATCTTTGGCAATGTCTAAACCAAAGAAAATCACACTTGTCTTCTCAGAAGAGGGAACATATTCAAATACCAAGAATTGCAGTTCCTGGTAAGACCTTTCAGAAAATGCCGTTACCAACAGCAGCAACTGAAACTCAGCAGAATGTTGGAGTGCTAAAAAGGGTGAAATAGGGAGACCTGAATAGTCATGGTAAGTAGTCCGGGTGGGGGAAGTGATGGAGATTCAAGGCTGTCTAAAATTTAAGAATCACAAACAAGTTCTTTCTTAAGAATTATATATATTTACACTGTGGATCTGAGATATGTTTAATCACAGTAGAAGCTGTTCAAATCAATCTAAATCCACCCAACCTGGGCCCTCCTCTGCTGTTTGAGCCTGCATTTCAGATAGGAGATAAGCTGCTTCCAGATGGACTGACCTTTGGAAATTCCATTCTAAAAAGAAATCACCAGTTATTGTCACTGTCTTCTTCTCCAGTCTTCCTTCTGGGGCTAAGACCCATCTTGTGACCTAAAGGAAGCTGCCCTCTTTAGTTTTCCATGAGACTTCCAGGGTGGTCTGGGCTATGGGAAGGCCCCTTCAGCTTGGGGGTGGACAGGTGTTCAAGCTCATAGTGCCCATTCTCGGAGGTCTTGTGTGGAAGTTCCTTCATGCCCTCCTTCTGGCTCCTCTTGTGCTCAATAATTTGCTGGAGCTGGTGCCCAGCATATTCTGGCTTGGTGGTTAGTGGTCCAGCCGGCACAGCCACACCAAGAACATCTGACACCATGTATGGGCGCAGCCAGCCCACCAAGGGAGTGCTTCCAGGGCTATAGTGGGTCTGCTTGTGGTAGAAGAGAAGTCCATCTACCTAAAAGAGGGGAAATTGGGGAATCACAATGACATCTGGGGCCACATCTCTCTTCCAAGAGAGCCTAGACACACAGAGGCAGCTCTTGTGTACATTTACTGCATTCAGAGGAAAAGAGTCCTTGCTTCTAACATGTGCAGTTTCTCTGAATAAAGAAATGGTCTAAAAGCTAAAATTTAGAAAAGAAAAAACATAAAATAGCATTTTCCTATTTACAGAATGATTTCCTATCCACTATTTCACCCTCTTACCCACCAAAAGAGTATTTGAGAGAAAGCTACTAGGGCTTGGGGAGTTCTGAGGGTCTCCCTGAAACACACGGTGAGTATAAAGCAGAAATTCAACTTGAGCCCAGGTCCTCTGTATCCAAATTCCAGATATTTTGCACTACTCCACAGTCTCTGTGTTCAGGCTGAGGGCCCCATGAACAAAGTCAGGGAAACTAGGTATGTCCTCTGAAGTGCAGAACTGCTGAGCACAGGGACCAGGCTATGTAGAAGCCCTGCTTCCCCAGATACTGTCAGCTGCCTAAACCTCCCCCTAAAATGTTTGCAAGCCATATTCTGGGAAACTCAGTTTTCTCAACGGGAAGACCTCCTACAGTCCCATATTTTCTTTTCCATGATTCAGTGACTCATCTCTAAAAAGCATTTATTGCCACTAGGGTATAAGGGATATAAATAAAGATAGTGTTCCTACCACCTTCTTAATTGACTTCCAGAAATGAAGGCAACTCAGCCTGTGCCATTTCCTCATTCAGGAAGCTGTGATCCTTTTGTAAAATTATAGACAGTTCAAGCAAATACTTGGGGTGAGTAGGCAGAATTTTAAATGGTGTGATGGGAAAAGGAAATTCTGCTTGAGCCTGGAGTGGGTAACTATAGTTTCTAAAGATGAAAAAAGACTGCCCAGGACCTAGGAGCTTCTGGTGTCAGGAAACATTCAGAGATATAACAGGGTGAGTGCTGTTAAAATTGGATGATTTGGTCATTTGGTCACCCTGCTCTCACACCACTGCTCAGCAGGTAGTGCCATTTATACTTTGGCCAAAAAGAGGATTAGAGATTCAAACATTTGTTTGGGTCAGTCACAGATGACCTTTTATTTTATGACCACTATGGCAGTCAAACAAGAGGCCTATTTCTTAAGCTTGTAGCAGGAAGAGACATACAGAAGGACCTAGGAATGGAAAACCTTGCTACTACGGACCTCAGTTTCTCAGAGGGAGTTGGATGATCTGTCCTTTAATGCAGCTCTGGCTCTGGCATTCAGATTATCTAGCAGGGGTGGAACTCAAGCTCTAAAGGGCAGCAAGAACATCCTTTCCCAGGAATCCATTTTCAGCACTGTTGTAATGCTCTCACACAGCAAAAGATATCTTAAGATCTCATGTAACTAAGTATCTCTGTACCCTACAACCATGAAAGCAATAATGACAATGGTCTCATTACCTCAAAAGGGAAATCCATAGATAGCACCTTACACAGACTCTCAGGGGTACAAGGAAAATTCTTTAGTCCCACAAATTTAAACTGAAATATAAATTAGATCAAATAGTTAGTACAAGTTACAAATGCGATTGGTTATAGTTTTCAGGGGCTGGGGACGTATCTCAGTTGGTAGAGTGCTTGCCTCACATGCACAAGGCCCTGAGTTCAATCCCCAGCAATACACAAAAAAAGAAGTTTCAGTCTCATCTTTCCCTATCTGCTCCCAACCACCTTCCCTCAAAGGTTCCCAACCTTCCATTACACACAACAATCATCTGGGAGGGAGGAAGGAGGTAGAGAATCAAGGGAGCTTTTAAAAATTATTAATGCAAGCCAGGCAATGGTGGTACATACCTGTAATCTCAGCAACTCCAGAGGCTGACTAGGAGGATCACCTATTTGAAAACAGTCTGGGCAACTTAGAGAGACCATTTCAAAATAAAAAGGTCTAGGAGAGCTCCCCTGGATTCAATGCCCATTACTGGCCAAAAAAAGAAAATATATATATATATATTCATCTCAGGTAAGTCACACCCTGAAATTCTTACTGAACTGGTCTATGATAAGGTCTGGGTTGATTTGTTTTGTTTTTGTAGTGCTGGGGATCATGTGCATGCTAGGTAAATGCTCTACAACTAAGCTACACCTCGGCTCTTACCCAATTATTAAAAACACAAATGGAATTCAAATCTGGATGACTGTTAAGTCCATACTCTTCTCATTGTACCATGCTGACTCAAAAAAGATCATTTCAATGTGGAGAGAGAATTAGGAATGTGAAGAGAAATCTTTGCTCCCTACACTTTTTTTAAAAATACTTTTTAGTTGTAGATGGACACAATACCTTTATTTATTTATTTATTTATTTATTTATGTATGTGGTGCTGAGGATTAAATCCAGGGCCTTCCACATTCAAGGCAAGCACTCTACTCTGAGCTACAACCCCAACTCATGCTCCCTAGACTTCTAACAGAGAATTAATATCTAGAATATATAAAGAACTCAAAACATTTTACACCAAAAAATAACCCAATTAATAAATGGCCAAATGAATTAAACAGACACTTCTCAGAAGAAGAAATACAAATGGCAAACAAATATATGATATTCAACATCAATAGCAATTAGGGAAATGCAAATCAAAACTACACAGACTGGAGCGGGGGAGGCTGGGGTTGTGGCTCGGTGGTTGAGCGCTTGCCTCACATATGTGAGGCAATGGGTTCGATCCTCAGCACCACATAATAAATAAATAAAATAAAGATATTTTTTAAAAAGAGTTCAGAGCCTCTTATTAAAAAAAAATGTGGAAAAGATGGGCATGGTAGCACATGTTTGTAATCCCAGTGGCTTGGGAGACTGAGGCAGGAGGATCCCAAGTTCAAAGCCAGTCTCAGCAACTTAGTGAGACCCTATCTCAAAAAAAAAAGTAAAAAAGATTTGGAGATATGGCTCAGTGATTAAGCACCCTGGGTTCAATCCCTGGAATCAAAAGGAAAAAAAAAAAAGTAGGAAAAAAGATCATTTCATTTAGAATGATTATATTTAGATAACAGATCAATCCTTATCCCTATAAAGAATTCTCTGATCCTAACACTAAGTCTTACAGGATTGAGCGTGGTTTTCTCGCCCAGTCCTTCTTCTTCCGGCAATTTTGAATGCATCCAGTAGAATCGGAAATCAGTCTGCATAGAAAAGGGACATAGAAAGACGAAATACTGGTCATCTCAAACTCTTTTTTTTTTAATACTTATTTTTTAGTTTTTAAGTGGACACAATATCTTTATTTTATTTTAATGTGGTGCTGAGGATCGAACCCAGTGCCTCACACATGCCAGGCAAGCATTCTACCACTGAGCCACAACCCCAGCCCATCATTTCAAACTCTTTCAAACTCTTTAAGTGGGGGGGGGGGGCACCCAATTCTAAATAGCCACTTGACTTACAAAGACCTATTCCCTTCTGTCATTATCCCTCTTTCATTTAAAACCATAAGGTCAGCAAGAAGATTATCAAATCCTTCAAGATTTTCTTCCTTAAAACTCAACAGGACTATTAATAGCAACAAAGCCAACATTTATCACTGAAGGCCTACTTTCATAATATAATATAATTAATCTTCAATCACCCTCTGGGAGTTGTATCACATTATCTCCATTTTATAGGTGAGGACTCTTGAGGATAAGAGAAGTTAAGTCACTTGCCCAGGTACACAGAGAAAATAATGTGTGACCTAGGACTCTTCAACTCCAAAGAACATTATGTAACCCCTCTTCTTTATATTAGGCCTGACTATTAGAAACTATGATACAGTTGAAACTTTTCAGAAACTATTTTATTCTCTGAATCAGTGACATGTATCCTTCTATACTTATGTTGAACTTTATCATTCTTTCAAATTGTGTTCTTTTTGGAAATTAAAAATTAAAAGCACACATACAGCCTTTTTTTTCCCCTGGTGGTACTGGGGACTGAACCCAGAGGCACTCTACCACTGAACTACACTAGGCATCTTTTCTTTATATTATAAAAATATAAGTGGCTTTAGTTACCAAATTTATAGGCTGTGATGAAACATCCTTCAACAGAATTAAAGGAAGACATGTGCTGGACCGAATTTACATTCATAGGTGTAATCTTGCCTCTGTATTTGGGCAAGGTACTTAACATCTGAGGATCTCAGTTTTTCATATCTACACAAGGATAATAGTAGTACTTGCCTTACAGATTATTGCAAGGGATTTAATGCATTAATGCCACAAAGTGTTTAGCAATATATATCCTAATTGCTAGGGGCTGGGATATAGCTCAGTTGGTAGAATGCTTGCCTTGCATGCACAAGGACCTGGGTTGTAATCCCCAACACCACAAAAACAAAACAAAACAACAAATCCTAACTGCAAACGTTTAAGGATCACTTGAGAATTCTGGCACCACCTGGCAAGATTTGGAAATCTACTGTGAGGTAATGCCTATGGAAAGAAACAGCCTGTGGTAACAATGTGATTCTCACACTTGAGCCTTCATGAAGATCACCTGGAGGCTGTTTAAAACTTTCAGGCCCACTCCCACCTGATGGTTCTGTAGGTTTGAGAATGTGCATTTCTAACAACTTTCTGATATGCCTGGTCTAAAGTCCACATATTGAGTACTAATATGAAAAACTAATTAACAAGGAGCAAAAGAGTACTACTATACAACAGAAACAACACAGGGCGTGATGTTAACAGCCATGAGGCCTAGTGCACATCCAGCCTCACTCTGATCACTGCAGCAGTCACCACAAGAAGCACCAAAGTGAGAAAATGTTGGGGAAGGTGAAACTAGAGGGGGAGTAGTGGGCCTCTTCTCACTTGGAAAGCTGTCCTTGTAGAGCTAGAGCCTTTGATATTTGAGGCTTTCTATAATATCACGGAGGCCCTGGCATCTTCAGGGTCAGGATGTGGTTGGTGAAGGAGTGGAGGTTGAGGGGGTCTATTTGATGGTGACTTGCATTCCACCCTCTCTTCCTGGTCCCATCTCCACAAGGTGGCATCTTCCTTGCTCCACAGTCTTCCCTACAGTCACCCTCCTATTCTCTGGAGAGAAGTGAGGGAGTGGCCTCAGCAGCTACAGGCCCGGCCTACACTTCTGCTGTTTTTCCTCCTTGCAAGAACTGCTATCCTTCCCTTAGTTCCTCCTACTTCTTTTTCAAAACTAAGCTAATTTAAACATTAAGAGATGCAGGGAGCATTAGATAATGTTCTTGATATACCACATCCTGTACACACCAAGAAGTTGGTCACGTATCAAAGCCACATGCTGAGCCACTTTCCTGGAGAGGAAAAGACAGAAAAAAACATGAGGGGAGTATCAATCCTTACCTGGCAGTCATAAAAAGGGTGTCCTCGCCAGCACATCACATCTAGAACATAGTAGGTCTGATTCACCTCACTGTAAATGCAATCCAGAATGGTGTACTCTGGAGACAAAAGGCAGAAAGTCAGGATTCCACTTCCAACCAGGGTTCCCTCCACCACAATCTAGGGAACCCCATTCTAGATAAATACTCAGTGCTTGCAACAAGTCAGCACTAGAACTAACAATTCATTAGGGAAAGCATTCTTCACGGCCCCTTCTGGCTACCTGGTACACCTTAACCCATTATGTTCATTATCCTATATGGAATTGAAAACTTAGGACTTAATGGGTTAAGGGTGACATGGATACACAGGTCAAAAGGAATCAAGACAATGCTTCACTCAAGTGGGAATTCTCAACTTTTAATTATTTGGTACTAGAGACTGAACCCAGGGAAAATTTACCACTGAGCTACATTCCTAACCCTTTTTATTTTTATTTTGAAACTGGGTCTTGCTGAATCTCTGAGGCTGGCCTCAAATTTGTGATTCTCCTGCCTTAGCCTCCTGAGTTGCTAGGATAGAAACATGTACCACTATGCCCAGCAGGAATTCTGAACATTTAGACAAATTGGAACATTACAGAAACAAACTCAAATTTTAAAGCAAGTTATCTTCCATTTTGGTTTAATTTATTTATTTATTTTTTTTTTTGAGAGGGGTCTCACTGTGTTGTCAGGTTGGTCTCAAACTCCTGAGCTCAAGTTATCTTCCTGCCTCAGACTCCCAAGTAGATATATTAGTAAATGGTAATACATACCTGGTTTACAACTACTTGTTTGTTTTGTTTGTTTGTTTGTTTTCCATTACTGGGGACTGAGCCCAAGGCCTTGCAGTATTAGTTCGCTATGTCTCCAACTCTTTTATTTTTTATTTTTTCATTTGATTTTAAGACAGGGTCTCACTAAGTTGCCCAAATTGGCCTCAGACCTGCCTCAGAAAGAAGATGGCATTACAGGTGTGTGCCACTGAGCCAGCTTACAATAACTTTTTAAGTTTCTAGATGCTTTGTTATAATTTAACTATAAATAGTCCCCCTTTAAGGAATTTATAATCCAATTAAGGAGATAAGATGGTCACAGAGGGAAGTCAAGGGCTAAACTATAGCCATGGACAAGTTATTTACCTTTATCTTAGCCTGGTCAGCTAGGCCAGGCAGGAGAAGATAAGGTTGGGTCAATGATAAAGGAGAAAGGGAATTCAGAAGGGAAGCCCAGCAGTGATTGTACCATGATACGTGACATTCTCTCAGGATCTTTACCCCAAAATCTGCATCTGTCATCTTATAATGGAAGTCCAAAGGCATGCTGACCTTAACTCAGAGATTTACTGCCCAGCAGGACTCAGGGTTGTATCTCTTCTACAACTGAGGAGGAATGACTTTGAATGGGAGAGCCTGAGTTCAGGGATCAGTACAGTGTCTGTGTGCAGTTTTAAGTATGCTTTCAAAGTGAGTCCTTAACAACTAGCCAAGCAACAGACACTGTCTTGAACTGAATATAAAACTTAGTAAACAAGCTGAGCAAAATGGCACATGCCTGTAATCCTGATGGCTTAGGAGGCTGAGGCAAGAGAATCACAAGTCAAAGCCAGCCTTTGCAAAAGTGAGGCACTAAGCAACCCAGTGAGACCCTGTCTCTAAATAAAATACAAAATAGGACTGGGATGTGGCTCTATGTTTAAGTGCCCCTGAGTTCAATCCTGGGTTCAAAAAAAAAAAAAATTACTTAGTAAGCAGGCATCTTATGTAGGTACCTTTTGCATTTGTTGAGTTTCTCCTATTGCCTCCTGGCAGAAGGGAAGAAAACCTGTTGACACAGTAGCCACTCTTGGTATAGGCACTGGTAGAACCCTGTGGGAAGAAAGCAACCATTCTTGTTAGGCATCCAGGTCTTCTCACCCTCTTGCTTCCTCATTGTGCAGGGGTGTAATTGGCCCAAGATGGCTCTCAACACATCCTTCCTGCAGGAAAGCATTTCAAGCCCCATTCCAGGCACAACTGCCAGAGCAGATGAGAAAAATGAAGCACAAAAAATCCCTCACACCATACACCAGGCCGGCTAACAGAGAGTAGGAGGCAGCTACTCACCCTGGAGGCCACAATAAGGGCTCTTTTTCCAACAGGGCACACCACCACAATCCATTCTTGTCCCAAATCTGAAGGAACATCAATTAACCACTCAGAGAGCATCAACTGGGAACACAAAAAATGCCATTATAAGCAGGGGTTGCTGCTCAAATGTTACAAGGACAAAGCGTTCATGTCCTACATGCACAATACATATACAAGTAAAAGAACAGAAAAGCCAGCAGAGGGGACTTCTACCCGGGTGCTCACAGTAGTTGAGCCAGTCTCCTGCACAACTGACTGGATGGAAGCCACTTACTTGGGACTCAGCTTCTCTCCTCAGTGCTATCACCTACATCAATGCAGGGCTTACTATCTCATTTCCTGGACCAAGGTGGTAGGGCCCTTTTCCTTTCCTTACTTTACCCATCTCCTTCCAGTTTCATAACTATTATGATCCAGAGGCTACACCTCAGGGATGAATAAGGTACTTGATTTTATCTTATTTATTTGTGTATTACTATTATGTTTTGGTCCTGGGGACTCAAGCCAGGGGCACTATACCACTGAGTTATATTCCTACCTCTTTTTATTTTTTGAGACAGGGTCTTTTAAATTGCCAGGCTGGCCTCAAAACTTGTAATCCTCCTGCCTCAGCCTCCCAAGTTGCTGGGATCACAGGCATGCACTACCAAGCTGGGCTCACCCACCCCTCTTTATGGTAGCATTTATTTCAGTGGGTTTTGACTGCATTGTACAGGAAGGTGGGTCTAATCATCTCTGGACCACGCACTTGATTCGCATAACGTTTTGGTAACTTCTTGCCAGTGTCAATGTCCATTTCTTCATCATCTTTCTTGTCTTCTTCCTCACTCTCCACCCCTGTCCAATCATCTTCAGCCAGTCTCCTGGCATGGTTCACATAATCCAGCCGCTTCCTGGAATGAAAAAAAAGGCATAGGCTCAAAGGATTTAAAATCAGCATACTATAGTGACACAGCCACATCAATGTTCACAGCAGCTCAATTCACAATAGCTATGGAACCACCCTAGGTGCCCTTCAATAGATGAATGGAAAAAGAAAATGTGGGGGCTGGAATTGTGATAAGTGCGTGGTAGAGCGCTCCCCTAGCACGTGTGAGACCCTGGGTTTGATCCTCAGCACCACATAAAAAAAATAAATAAAATAAGGGTATTGTGTCCAAATACAACTAAAAAAAATAAATATTAAAGAAAATGTGGTATATTTACACAACGGAATATTACTCAGCCATAAAGAAGAATGAAATCATAGCATTTGCTGATAAATGGATGGAACCAGAGAATATCATGCTAAGTGAAATAAACCAATCCCATGTTTGTAGATGCTGACTCACAACGGAGGAGGAGGAGTGGAGGTTCATGGGATTGGACAGGAGAGTGGGGGAAAAGGAGGGGGGATAGAAATGGGAAAAACAGTAGAATAAATCGGACATAACTTTCCTATGTTCATATATGAATACATGACCAGTGTAACCATGTACAACCACAAAAATGGGAAGTTATACTACACATATGTATGATACATCAAAATACATTCTACTGTCATATATAACTAAAATGAACAAATAAAAAAAAAGAGGTTGGGCGTGATCAGTACATGCTACACACGTGTGAAAATATCACACTGAATGCCAGTAGAATGTACAATTAATATGTGTTAATCAAAAATAAAAAGGAGGAGCTGGGGATGTGGCTCAAGTGGTAGTTTGCTTGCCTAGCATGCGTGAGGCACTGGCTTCGATTCTCAGCACCACATAAAAATAAAATAAAGATATTGTGTCCACCAAAAAAATAAATAAATAAAATAAATAAGCTGTTACATTTTAGACAGAAACATCCTATAATGAAAAAGATTTCATTTAATTCAAAGGCTCCAGATTTGGGAGCAACTTGGGGATTTGGGTGGGAGTAAGAAATATGGAATTTCCTTTGCAAAGCCAAACTAATGGCTGCCTCCTCATAGATCCTAAATAGGGAACCCCCCTGAACAGACACAGCCTTCCTCTGAATTTCCTAAGAATGGAAAAAGTAAGATATTTAAAGGAATTTGCAATGTTCACTAACTGTATAGGCTGAGCCCACCCTCACACCACCCACCCCAGGTGAGAACTGACATTTCCTGCCTGGCAGACACTGTTTCCAAAGGCCCTAGGATGAGAGAGAGGAAACAATGAGATGCAGTGAGAAGTCTAAAACAGGACAGCTTCTGGGGATTTCCACTTTACACAGCTTTCAGAGGAGAAGCCAGGCCTCTCTTCAGTTTCTAACTTTCAAAAAGAGCCACTTAAGTGCTGGGGTTGTGGCTCAGCAATAAAGCGCTCACCTAGTACATGTGAGGCCCTGGGTTCAATCATCAGCATCACATGTAAATAAATAAAGTAAAGGTATTGTGTCCAACTACAACTAAAAAATAAATATTTTGGGGAAAAAAAAGAAGAGCCACTTAGTTTACAATTTTATCTTTTACTTTACATTATTATTATTATTATTATTATTATTATTTTAACTATATGTTCTAGAAAGGTTGGGAAATTATGAGGCTAGAAAAAGCAATTTCTGGAACCTAAGTGTTTTAAATTGATTTGGAAATGTACCTCCTAAACTTGATTTCCTCAAAGCAATGTAAGAATTAAACCACTGAGGCAGTGAACCAGCATAACTGTTTTCTTCTTCTCCTATTTTTCTTTTTTTAAAACAGTACTGGGAATTCAACCCAGCCCCACACAAGCACTTTACCATTGAGCCTTAAGCTTCATTTCTAGTATTTATTTATTATTTTGATACAGGGAATTAAACTCAGAGGTACTCGACCACTGAGCCACACCCCCAGCCCTATTTTGTATTTTATTTAGGAACAGCGTCTCACTGAGTTGCTTAGAGCCTTGTTTTTGCTGAGGGTGGATTTGAACTCACGATCCTCCTCCCTCAGCCTCCTGAGCCACTGGGATTACAGGTGTAAGCCACTGCAGCCAACCTATTTTTTATTTTTGAGACAGGGTCTCACTAAGTTGCTGAGGCTGGCTTTGAACTTGCAATGTGCAACCACAATAGCACCCAACTGGTTAACTGGTTTCTTCTTACTCCTCTTCCCCACCCCCCGTCTTTTTAAATTGTGAGACAGGGTCTCACTAAGCTGCCCAGGCTGGCCTTGAACTTGCAATCCTCCTGCCTCAGCCTGCTGAGTCCCTGGAATTACATACATGCACGATAGCACCCAGATGATTTCTTCTTAAATTCACATGTTCATGCCCATTCATTCAAATTTGCATACCTGAGAGAACATATGAAAGCACAATGGTCTTTTATTTCAAGAACAAAAGACAGCAAATATATTCCTACATGTGTGAAAGGATGTATATCTGTGGTTATTTCCTAGGCATTGTTTATAATCACAAAAGAAGGAAACTACCCAGATGCCCATCAGTAGGGGAATGATAAGGTTACATGTAAACCAACAACCAATGGAATACCTGGCACCATAAAAGGGGATGATATGGCATTTTATGAACTGATATAGAAGCTCTCAAAAATAAATAAATAAATAAACACTATTAAATAAATATACAATAGTGTAGAGTACACTACTACTTGTATTTTAAAAATAATAGGGTTGGGGCTGGGGATGTAGCTAAGTGGTGGAGCGTCTACCTTGTATGTGTAAGGCACTGGGTTCAATTTTCAGCACCACATAAAAATAAAAATAAATAAAATAAAGGTATTGTGTCCCTCTACAACACCCCCACACACACGCATATATATAATATAAAATAATAATAAGCCAGGCACAGTGCTGCCTGCCTGTAATCCCAGCGACTCGGGAGTCTAAGGCAGGAGGACCTCTAGCTCAAAGACAGTCCACCAACTCAGCGAGGCCCTAAGCAACTCAGCAAGACTCTGTCTCTAATAAAATATGAAAAAGGGCTGGGGATGTGGCTCGGTGATTAAGTGTCCCTGAGTTCAATCCCTGGTACCAAAAATAATAATAAGTATTAATAATAATAATAGTGGGTATAGCTCAGTGGTAGAATACCTGCCTAGCATGCATGAAGTTCAATCTCCAGCATTGTAAAAAATTAAAATTAAAAAAAAAAATTATATATACAATCAAACACACTTGCTCATATCTACACAGAATATCTTTGGAAAGAAAACTAATAGTTCAGGAAAGAAACTGGGCAACTAGGGGACAAAATAGGGAGGGAAGTTTTTCAACATGTATTCTTCTACAAACTTTGAACTACATGAATGAATATATTTCCTATTCTAAAATAATAAAGTAAAATTGAAAAAAGGGGAGGATTATTTCTTCCTGGTGTGCTAGAGTGGGCCACAAAGAGGGACATGAAACTAGATCTGGATTCCAGGCCTGTCATATTAGTCCCCATACTTCTGCGCCTTGTTCTCTGGATGATCCTTCAAATCTTCAGCTGTCTCCTCTGATCTTTGACTCTGTTCTTCAGTCAGGGGCTTCCTTCTGTGCTGCCCACCAAAAGGGAAACTCAGACCCAGGCTGACATTGGTGCTAGGTGGACCCACAGAGGAAGAAAGCAAATGGTCTAGAGTGAAGCGAGGCTGGGCTTCCCCACCCAGTTCTCACAGCCAGCCAGTTGCTGGTTCTTATTCTCACATTCTAGCCCCACTCTCCTCCCCCTCTACCTGGACTTCATCAGCAGGGAGGGTACATTTCCACTTCTTGCATTTCCAGGAACAGATGAGGACAGAGCCCTGCCTATACTTCCATGCTTGTATTTTAATTGAGGAGGAACAATAAACACATACAGGTGAGTATCCCTTACTGAAATGCTTGGGATCAGAAATGTTTCGGATTTTGGAATATTTGTACATAGATAATGAGATATGGGATGGGACCCAAGAAAGAGAGAAACAGAGACAGACAGGGAGGAAGGAAGAAAACAGGAGAGGAAAATAGGAGTGATCTCGGAATGTAATCTGCAAGCAACTGAGGAGACATAGGGAACCATCTCTGTCAAACACATCCAGGGATGCAGCACTGGACAAAATATAGACTCTATGGAAACTGCAGTAGTTAATAGTTTCTCCCAGTCCCTAATTGCTTAATTTATGATCCAGAAGAGGCACACACCACACTGAGAATAAAATACAGGTCCTGTCTTCAAAACAGCCCAACCTCAAACACTTCTATTCTGCTCTCTTCCCCTGTTTGTTCATTTTGGCACTTACAATTAAGAGTATGGAAGACATTTCCTCAGATTCCCTAAGGAATTGTTTGTCTTGAACTCCCAAGGGCTCCACAGAACATTTGGGGTAAATGCAGACGGGAAGACCACACCAATACCAGAATTCAGAGCGTGGGAGAAGCCACACATAAGCAGCCCTCAGAATGTGGGGAGTGGAAGTCTAGGTGTGGCTTTCACAAGTCCCTAAATTGCAAAGCTCCATACTGTTGCCAGGAAAAACAGCAAAATTTAACCAAATAACTGAGCTTTTCTTTCAAGTTTTAGTCTCTTCCTACTTCCTCTTTTTTTCCTAAAATCTGAACATTAAGGATACCTAACTCTGCCAGGATTTACCCTCCCAAATCTATTGGCAGAAAGATCAATCTACAAATAGTCTATTTTTGAAAGGGTTCTGTAGAGACAAGCCTAGACACCCCTGAATCATTCTCAGCTCCCAGAATGAAGAAAGAAGCCAAGGAGTTAAAGCATCCTTACAATTTCTGCAGTTCCAGTAACCGGCGGCGCCGCTCACTCTGCTCCAAGGAACTGTATTTGGACTTGTATTGGGATAGGCGGGGGTGTGGGGCAGCTGTGCTGTTCAGATCTTGAGACACAGAAAAGCTACTAGCCAGGGCTTGACTCAGCTCTTCCATCTTCCCTATAAAAAAAAAAAAAAGAAAATGGTTCATTCATTCATATCATCCTGGGTATACAGGCAGTTGTGATGTAATATGATGGCTACCTTCCCAAAATACACCACTTCATCTAAAATCACAATTTTTTCCATAGTGAAAAAAAGGAAATTAAAAGGTAAATGAGTTACACATCAGCATTAACAATGTTATTTTCTAATGATATTTTGATAATGATCATGATAGCTCTGAATGCATAAACCTAATATAAATCACTAAGAAAATTTATTCCATCATAGGGATGGGATTGTGGCTCAGTGGTAGAGCGCTCGCCTAGTGTGTGTGAGGCACCACATAAAAATGAATAAATAAAGGTACTGTGTCCAACTACAACTAAAATATAATTTTAAAAAAATTTATTCCATCATCAAATCATCCTTTTGTTTCCCATAACCATGAACTGTCATTCATTTTTTTTTTTTTTAATTGAGAACCAAACTCAAGGGCACTCTACAACTGAGTTACATCCCCAGTTGTATTTTGAGATAGGGTCTCACTAAACTGCCTAGGGCCTAAGTTGCTGAGGACGGCCTCAAATTTGCAATTCTTCTGCCTCACAGCTTCCCAAGTCTCTGGGATTATAGTTGTGCACCATCGCACTCAACTTGTTGTTCAATTTTTATCACTGGACATCTAGTTATGTGACCAAGCTTCTAATTTTTTCCTGAGTAGTTCTAAATGGCCATCATTCAATAACATTGTCAATATAAATTTTATGCAACTGGCTAATTATGTAATAAATGTCTTTTTGTTTTGCTTTTTTTTTTTTCTTTTTCCCCAGTTCTGGGGATCAAATCCAGGGCCTCAGTTGGGCCAGGCAAATGCTCTACCACTGAACATTTCCAACCCAAATAAATGCCAACTCATTTTCAGGAAATTTAGCTCCAGAAGAAACATGTTCTGGCGCCCCTAGAGGAAGACAGGAGAAGCCAAAAAAAAAAACAACCAAACTTAACAGTTACTTTCTCATTTTATGTTTTGTTTTTGAGGGGCTGAATGGTTTCAGGTTTCAGGGTTACCTATGTGAGACTCACTTGAAAAAGGGTTAGGGTGTGGAAGGTTGCCTAAAAGAGAATGCCAGCTACTCTAGTACAAAGAATTTACACATGGTACAATAGGGAAACAGGGAGTGTATGTCACATGGGAGACAAGACTACCCACATGGGCCCTAAAGGATGGAAGTGGAGAAGAAGAGGTAAAATGCTGGGCGTGCTGGCATAGGCCAGCAATCCCAGCTACTCAGAAGGCTAAAACAGGTGAATTGCAGGTTCGAGGCCAGCCTAGCAATTTGGTGAGGTACTAAGCAACTGAGCAAGATGCTGTCTCAAAATAAGTAAAAAGGGATGGGGATGTGGCTCAATGGTAAAGCGCCCCTGGGATTATAGTTGTACTTATACCTAGTATGAAAAAATTTAAAAAATGTTATTAAAAAGAAAAGGAAAAGAAGTAAATTCACTTTTTATTCAAATTCCTATGAATGAAGTACTTACTGGGTGGACTAGGAGCTCAATAAAGGTTAAAGGCGTGCCTCAGACTATAAGAAAACAGGAACATTTGGGAGAAACCAGCTGAACTGGTCCCACCCTTCAGTTCTGGTGCAAATCAGAGAGTACCACCAATACTAAACCACCCATACCAGGTCCCACTGCTCTCAGCACCAAAATGAACAAGCTCATTCCAGAAGTTCCATAGTAAAAAATAAAACTCCAGGGGCTGGGGATATAGCTCAGCTGGTAGAGTGCTTGCCTAGCATGCACAAGGCCCTGGGTTCAATCCCTAGTACCACAAAAAATAAATATAAATAAATAAATAAGACTCCATACACTTCCACTTGGCCATTGAATTGTTTTGTTTTCTTTTTCCTCTGTCCTGGGGATTGAACCCAGTGGAGCACTACCACTGAACTACATTCCAAGCTCTTCATTTTTTGAGATAGTGCCTTGCTAAACTGCCCAACCTAGCCTCAAACTTAAGATACTCCTGCCTTAGACTCTCTAGTGTCTGGGATTAGTGTGTCATTCCATCAGATTCTAATGAGGTACTTTCTACTGCACACTTGATATCAGATTTTATCTTTCTTAATTTGAAGCATTTGACTGGGGTGGGGTGGTACTTGGGATTGAACCCAGGGGCTCTTTACTACTAAGCTCCATCCCCAGTCCTTTTTATATTTGAGACAGTGTCTCACTAAGCTGCTTTGGGCCTCACTAAATTGCTGAGGCTGGCCTCGAATTTGCAATCTTCCCTCTTTAACTTCCAGAGTCACTAGGACTCACAGGCATGTACCACTGTGCTTGGTTGATTTTTTTTTAAAGGAAATTTTAAAAAATTGCGGTTGAGAATGACAGGCACAATGGCGTGCGCTTGTAATCCCAGCAGCTCAGTAGGCTGCAGCAGGAGGATCATGAGTTAAAAGCCAGCTTCAGCAATTTAGTGAAATCCTATCTTAAAATAAAAATATAAAAAAAAAAGCTGGGGATGTGGTTCAGTGGCTAAAGTGCTCCACAATTCAATTCCCAGTACCCCCCCCCCAAAAAAAAACAGTGTGCTTACGGGACTATAGGAATAAGCACAGAGAGTTCTCAAAGGACTAGAAATGGAATCGCCATTATGACCCAGTGGTACCACTCCTTAGTATTTATCCTAAAGAATAAAAGTCAACATACTATAGCAATGCATGCATATTCATGGGTTTTGTTGTTGTTTGGGTTTTTTTTTTTTTTTTTTTGGTGGTGCTAGGGATTAAGCCCAGAGCTTTATGCATGTGAGGCAAACACTCTACCAATTAAATTATACCCCCCGCCCACATATCCATGTTTAAACAGCACAATCCACAACGTCAAATTATATAACTAGTCTAGGTGTCCATCAACAGATGAATGGATAAAGAAAATGTGGTAGACATACACAGTGGATTTTTTTTTGGGGGGGGGGGGGTACCAGGGATCGAACTTAGAGGCATTCAACCACTGAGCCACATCCCCAGCCCTATTTCTTGTATTTTATTTAGAGACATCCTGTCTATACTGAGTTGCTTAGTACCTCACAGTTGGTGAGGCTGACTTTGAACTCGAAATTCTCCTGTTTCAGCATCCCAAGCAGCTGTGATTACAGGGATTACAGGCGTGGGCCACAGCACCCAGCTACACAGTGGATTCTTATTCAGCCATAAATAAGAATGAAATGGGAAGCAGGCATGGTGACACATCTTTAATCCCAGCAGCTGGGGAGCCTGAAACAGGAAGTTTGCTTGAGTTCAAAGTCAGCCTCAGCAATTTAGTGAGGCCCTAAGCAACTCAGTGACCCCTGTCTCTAAATAAAATTTTTAAAAAGGGCTGGGGAAGTGGCTCAGTGGTTAAGTGCTGCTGGGTTCAATCCCAGGTACAAAAAAAAAAGAATGAAATATGTTATTTGCAGGAAAATGGATAGAATTTAAGAAAGCCAAACTCAGAAAGTCGATGGTTATATTTTTAAAAAATATTTATTTTTTTAGTTGTAGTTGAATACAATATCTTCAATCTATTTATTTATTTTTATGTGGTGCTGAGGATCGAACCCAGGACCTCATCCGTGCTAGTCAAGCGCTCTACCGCTGAGCCACAACCCCAGCCCCAATGGTTATGTTTTATCTCATGTGTGGAAGCTAGAACTTAAAAATAAGGGGGGAAAGATAGGGAGAATCTCTTGCAAATCAAAGGGCTACCTGGTTGCTACATTAAACCCTGAATTGGCAACCTGTTACCAGGTTCCCTAATGACTGGCGAGAGCTGTTTTTTCTTCTTACTTGAAAAAAGCCGGGGCTGGGGATGTGGCTCGAGCGGTAGCGCGCTCGCCTGGCATGCGTGCGGCCCGGGTTCGATCCTCAGGACCACATACAAACAAAGATGTTGTGTCTGCCGAGAACTAAAAAATAAATATGAAAAAAAATAAAATATAAAAAAAGCCTACTTTTTCACTTCGGAAAAAAAAATAATCAAAGGAAGATCAATAGAATGAAAGGGGACCAGGAGGAAAAGGGTAGGTAATGGGAGATGAATCTACCAAATTATAGAGTTCAATCTCCAGTAATGAAAAAAAAATAATTCTTTAAAAATTATCTTTGGGTCTTAAAGTAATGACCAAATTCAGCTGGAAGCAGTGGCACATTCCTGTAATCTCAGCAACTGAGGAAGCTGAGGCAGAAGGATGCAAGTTTGAGGTCAGCCTAAGACTTTATCTCAAAATGGGGGTTGTAGCTAAGTGGTAGTGCTTGCTGAGGATGAATCAGGCCCTGGATTTACTGAGGAGTAGCATGCAAAAAAATTAATAAAAGACCAAATCCAAAGCATCTTTTTTTTAAAGTTGTTGATGGACCTTTATTTTAATTATTTGTATGTGATGCTGAGAATCGAACCCAGTGCCTCACACATGCTAGGCAAGCACTCCACCACTGAGCCACAGCCCCAGCTCCCCAAAGCATCTTCAATAGGCCTTTTCATTCTTTACTTTTGTTGTTGTGGTGGTGGTAGTGGGAATTGAACTCAGGGGCACTTGACCACTGCCCACATCTGCAGCCCAATTTTGTTTTTCTGCGGGGGGGTGGGGGGACAGGGTCTCACTGAGTTGCTTAGTGCCTTGCTGTTGCTGAGGCTGACTATGAATTCAAGATGTTCCTGCCTCAACTTCCCGAGCCGCTGAATTAGAGGCGTGTACCACCGCGCCTGGCTCATGCTTGATGTTAGCTCCCGATTTGCCAAGAATCACAAAATCGTTAAAATTGATGCCTCGGATACTAGGGCGGGTCCCTGCACCTTCCTGTTAAGGGCATCTTTGCTGGCTCTTATTATTTCAGCCCATTCCACGGAAGGTTCCGTCCACAAGTGTTCAGACTGCGTCCCACGTGGACTCATCCTCCACTAGTTTCCACTAACTTCCCAAGATCTGACCCACCCAGGCCCCTCCTCCGCGCTGAGGCCCAGGCCCACTTCCTGTCCCCCTCCTCATCTCTGATGCCTCCACGTGTCCTCCGTCTCTTCCTACCCCCACGTGCCGGGCTCCTGCCCAGTGATTTTACCTGCTCCACTCGGCCGTACTCCCCGCCACCGCCCCGCAATGCCCTTCTCTAGCGATGGGGTCATCTAGGCCTTGCATGGTTCGCCCCTCCCCTACAAAAATGACCCTCAGGGCTTCTAGCCGGACAGCCTGTACATAATTGCGGAAACACGCCAAAGGGGAGGCCCCGGCCTGGCTCTGCCTCTCCAAGGGCCGTCCCGGGAGCCGGAGAGCGGGACAGGTCAGAGGAGCCTTAGACGGATGATAAGGGGCAACTCGAGAACCGGCAAGACCCGAACTCGAACTCAGCACTCACCGGACTGAGGCGACAGTTGCACGCGCCGCCGCTGCCACCGCCCTCCCCGGGGATCGGCCAATCAGCTGCCCTGAAAGGGTCGGACCCGCCCCCTCGGCTGCCGTCGCGCCGCTAGGCCCACAGTCTTTGCGCCCGGAGTTTCCGGCTCCTCCCACCGTGGCGCACGCCGGAAGTTGGTTCGCTGCGGGCCGTTACTTCCGCCTGAAGGTCTCGGGCTTTTCCGGTCACTCACAGCTGGGTCCTGTTTTTGCGTTGCGCGTCCCGGCCCTCTCCAACAAGATGGCTTGACAAAGGCAAGACCCCACTCCTGGGCACAAGCTCCTCCCAGCCCCTTTCGCCAATAGGAGGAGCGGCGACCTCGTGGCCGGGCATTCAACGCCCTCCACTCCCTGGGTCCTGCCGCCTTCCCATATCTGCTCAGCCTGCTGCCTCTTCTCTGCATTTCTCTCACTCAGGCAGTGCTCGTTGTCTGGATGGCTCCGTCTGACATCCCAAGTCTTGGACTATTAAACGTCCCCTCCCCGTTCGCCCTTCCAACACCAGCAACTGCCTGGACTACTCCCTATTTGCTAGGTTTGGGAATTTCTCCTTCGTATTCGGCTGTGGACTTGGTAACGTGGCTTGATTCCTGTTTAGGGAGTCAGCATCCAGCACAAGGCATGGACTCAATAGACCCTCGATGAAAGAATGATTGAATTGGTGCAAGCTGTGGGACCAAGCAGCCGAGATTTAGGAGACCCCCTCAACTTGGATGCAGTTTCTGCAGGGTAGCACTAACTTAATGAGATGTAAAAAAAAAAAAAAAACATGAATAGCTATTTATTGAATGCTGACATTGAGCCAGATACCGTGTTTTATAGGCATTAGTTCATTCAATCATCAAAACAGAGAGGTTAAGTACCTTAGCCAAAGCCACACAGCTCTTGAACCAAACATTTGAATTTGCTAGATGTTTTAATATAGAGAATAGTGGGGCTGGGGATGTGGCTCAAGCGGTAGCGCGCTCGCCTGGCATGCGTGCAGCCCGGGTTCGATCCTCAGCACCACGTACACACAAAGATGTTGTGTCCGCCAAAAAATAAATAAATTCTCTCTCTCTCTCTCTCTCTCTCTCTCTCTCTCTCTCAAAAAAAAAAAAAAAAATAGAATAGAGTGCCTATTATATACAATAGTAACATTCCTTCTACTCAGGAGGCTGAGGCCAGTCAATCCTATCCTGCAAATTCAGGGCCATTCTGGGCAACGTAGTCACCCTGTCTCCAAATCAAAAGGGCTAGGGAGTGTAGTTCAGTGGTAGAGTGTTTACCTAGGATGTTTGGAGCCTTGGGTTCAATCTCCAAGTTCCATTCTCAGTACCTCAAAGGGGTTGGGGGAAGCTGGCATATTTTGAATCTAAGGAATACCAAGATACGACTTATAAGGAATATCAAGATGTGGACCTGTTGGGCATATATTTTACGTACATACCACAATTTTGGTGCTAAAGGAAATTGGGGACCCTGGAAGACTAATCTTTGGGACCTCAGATTATATGTAGGTGAACACTTGACTTTCACTATCCAGGCTTAACAAAGATTATTTATTGGATATAGCAAAATAAAAACTGATAATTGCTTAATTTGTGGGACTGTGATAAAAGAAAAACCCAGGGCCTGCCTGCATTAAGGAAATTTGATATTGCAGTGTCTGTTTGTCCCAGAACCACCATTTCCTACTTATAACCATAGAGGTCACAACTAGTGGTCAGAACTGCACATAAAAGAAAAAAGACCCCTAACATTGAAGCAAAGTAGACTGTATTTGAAAGAAGTTCCTGAATGCACGGCCAAGGTCTAGAAAGGCTCTGGTCCTTCACTGGTACCCAGCTGAATCACTGCTCATATCCCTGAAAATAAAGAAACAGCAGCTGGCCCAAGGGCTCATTTGGAGTTGGTGGATATTCCAAAAAGGGCTGTTCTGCCTGAAACTATGGCTCCCGAACTCTAGCCATTAGCATCTCACCTTCACAAGGTTGTCCACATACGCATACACCTGTGTGGTTTTGTTTTCTGGTACTGGGGATTGAAGCAAAGGCAGCTTACTACTAAGCTACATCCCCAGCCCTTTTTATTTTTCATTTTGAGACAGAATCTCACTAAGTTGCGGAGGCTGGCCTGGAACTTGGGATCCTCCTGCCTTGCCCTCCTGAGTAGCTGAGATTATGGTATATACTCCATCACACACAGCTAAGTGCTGTGTCTTATCCTCTCTAAAGAAACTTTCAGAGCAGAAACTAGGGACATCTGACCCAGCCTCTTCCTATCAGGGAGAGGAGACAGAAGAGGTATATACCCCAAGTGCCAAAGCAAGAAGGCAGTATGGCCTTCCCTCCAGCCTCTGTCCCTCAGCTGTTGGAAGATAATTGAGCATTTTTGGTTGTGTTGTTTTGTTTTTTCTTTTTGATCCAGCACTTAGGTGATTGCTTCTCCATGTCTCCATGCCAAGCTCTGGACTAGGCACAAGGCCCATGCTTCTCTTTCTCTCTCTTTCTTTCTGTTGAACCTGAGGGAGGTTTTTACCACTGAGCCACATCCCCAGTTCTTTTTATTTTTCATTCCCAGACAAGGTCTGAGTTGCTGAGGGTGTTACTAAATTGCCCAGGCTTATGGTGGTGCATGCCTGTAATTCCAGCGACCAGGGAGGCTATGACAGGAGAATCACAAGCTCAAGAACAGCCTCGGAAACTTGGTGAGACCCTAAGTAATTCAGTGAGACTCTGAGGAAGGTGCTGCCTCAAAAAGTAAAAAAGGCTAGGGTTGTGGCTCAATGGTAGAGTACTTGCCTAGCACATGTGAAGCACTGGGTTCAATTCTCAGCACCATGTATAAATGAACAGATAAAGATCCATTGACAAGTAAAAAAATATTTAAAAAATAAAACTTAGAAAAAGGGCTGGGGTTGTAACTCAGTGGTAAAGTAGCCTTGGGTTCAATCCCCAGTACCAATAAATAATAAACAGCCAAGGCTGGCCTGGAACTTGAGATCCTCCTGCCTTAGCCTGCTGAGTGGCTGAAATAACAGGCATGCATCACCATAACCAGCTACGCTTGTGCTTTTCTTTTCTTTTGGTATCAAGGATTGAACCCAGGGGCGCTTAACCATTGAGCCACATCCCCAGCCCTTTATATATTTTATTCTGAGACAGAGTCACACTAAGTTGTTTAGGGCCTGCCTAAGTTGCTTAGACTGGCTTTGAACTTGCAATCCTCCTGCCTTGTCCTCCCAAATCACTGGGATTACAGGGGTGCACCACTGAGCCCAGGTAGGCCTGTGCTTTTTAAAGTGTTGTTTCCTTCCAAAGGTGCCAAAAATCACATGGAAACTTGTTAGAATTGAAAATTCTCAGTTTCTCTACTGTAACCGAAAGCTCTGTCCTCATCCTTGAGGCCAATCCAATAATGAAAACAAGGTCTTGGGGTTGGGGCTGTGGCTCAGAGGTAGAGTGCTCGCCTACTATGTGTAAAGCACTGGGTTTGATCCCCAGCACCACATATAAATATGTGTCCACCTATAACTAAAAAATAAATTTAAAAAACAAGGTCTTAAGGGGCCAGGGATGTAGCTCAAGCGGTAGCTCTCTCACCTGGCATGCGCAGGGCGCTGGGTTCAATCCTCAGCACCACATAAAAGTAAATAAAAAGATCTTGTGTCCCCCGAAAAACTAAAAAATAAATATTAAAAAATTCTCTCTCTCTCTCTCTTAAAAACAACAAAAAAAACAGGGTCTTGAGAAAAAAGAAGATTGCTTTGCTAGCAAAGGAGAAACACAGGGGACTCCTGTCCCAAAGGCTGTGATTCTGCCCATCCCTACGAACGGGGCTTGGGGCTTTTATAGAGGTGATTCAAAGAAAATGCAATTAGGGAGGAGAGATCAAGAAGGAGAAGATCAGGGAGGAGAAGTTTAGGGAAAAGAAGATCAGGGAGGTTTAGGCAAAAGAAGACTAGTAAAAAGAAAAACATACTCACAGCATCAAGTGAACCCCGTTACACTACCACCTCTCCCTCCTAAATCACAAATTCAGTTGTGGAAGAGATAGCATCTGATTTCACAGTGGCACATGCCTGTGATCCCAGCAACTTGGGAGGCTGAAGCAGGAGGATTTTGAGTTCTAGGATAAGCCTTGGCAATTTAGCCATAACCTGTCTCAAAAAGACATTTAATTTTTTTTTAATTTTTAAAAAAGGGTAAGGGATATAGTTCAGTGCTATAATAATTCTGGATTCAAACCCCAGTACTAAACATAAATAAGTCATAAGAACAACAGTATTGGGTTGTTGTGAAGAATACCTGAGGCAGCACAAACCTGGCACAGTCAAGTGTAGCCATTATCAGCTAGCAGAGGATCATGTTTCCTTTTAAAATTTGCCATTCTCAGGCAAAGAAAATGTGGTATATAGGGGCTGGGGCTACAGCTCAGTGGCAGAGCGCTTGCCTAACCTGTGTGAGGCACTGAGTTCAATCCTTAGCACCACATAAAAAAATAAATAAATAAAGGCATGATGTCTATCTACAACTACAAAAAAATTTTTTTAAAAGAAAAATGTGGTATTTATACACAATGAAATACTACTCAGCCATAAAGAAAAATGAAATGATGATATTTTCCAGTAAATGGATGGAACCAGAGACTATCATGCTAAATGAAATAAACCAATCACCCCCCCCCAAAAAAAAAAAAAAATTGAAGGCCAAATGTTCTCTCTGATATGCAGGTGCTAACTCACAATAAAGGAACGGGAAGGGAAGAATCGAAGTTCATTGGATTACACTAAGGGGAATGAAGAAATGATAGTAGAAATGAGAATGGGAAAGATAGTAGAATGAATTGGACATAACTTTCCTATGTTCATATATGAATATATGGCCAGTGAAACTCCGTATCATAAAAAAAAAAAATCCATATCATGTACAACCACAAGAATGGGAACTTATACTCCATGTATGTGTAACACGTCAAAATGCATTCTGTCATGTGTAACTAAAAAGAACAAATAAAAAATTTTGCCATTCTTG